TAAACACCAACTCCCATCCATCAGCGCTCGAAAAACAGCGCCGAATTTCGGAATCACGGCAGAAACCCAAATCTCCTACGACCACCCAGTTCACTGAGTCACTCATACGACTAACGCGTGCGATTCACGCTGGGAAGTTGTAATCCGAGGGCACCAAAAAGATGAACCCACTTCAGATCATCTCTCGACCATGAAGACCCGATCGGATATTTCTTATAGCGCAATGAACGAGCAACAAGGCTAATTCTCGAGCCAAGCCGCCAGAGATTGCGCATCAATCATCCCACATGAACATGCATGAGCTCACCGTCAAAGAGCTTCCCAACAGCGATAGTGTACAAGGCCAATCCAGAGGGCACTTCAAGTAGCTGGCGTCGACCACTGGCTGGGATTCGAGACATAACTTTCATAGCGGTCCGAACCTAGGAGCAAATCACTACACCACTTCCTCTACTGCATGACAACCCACCATCCAATTAAGCTTCGCCGCCTCAGCTACAGGATTGGTGAGACCACCATAGCACTCCTTGAACCTCAAGGACACGCTTGATGGAAGACATGGGAGAGTGAAGTGCTCGATAACGGATGCCTCACTGATCTGAAGTTAATTCTCGCTCGCCCAGGAATCTTTTGAAACCGCCAAGGATACGCCAAGATACCACTCACCTTCTTCGCATCTCGCGAATTCTTTCCACACTTGTTGTGCGTCCCATCTACTGTCAGACGCAAGGTATCGTCAGAGCAACGTACCGTTGACGTCGTCGACGCTTTGCTGCTTCCCCCACCAGTGGCGATGACATCGACAACTACTCGCCTTAGGGTCGACGATGACGACGTACTCAGTGCAGCCTGCAGTTGCGATGCCTACAATATAAGGAAGCACTTACTCGATAGACACGAGGGATTTCACGATGCGCGAATTGCGCTTCACACGTGCTACAGCTAAAATGCATAACCCTAGAATTGAACCCGGAACCTACGGATTACCAAACACCACCACTCCCCAACTTACCTGTAATACAGGTAATGCAGCCTTCGCATGAACAGTGAGGAGCAACTCACCAGCATTAGGGCACAGAATTAACGAGACTGTTCCTTCCACTCCAGACAAATGCTCTCGTATCTAACTTGCCATTCCTTCACCCACCTCACACGGTTACACAGGGGCTCACAATTAAAACACTTTGGGCGATGGCCGGATGGTACACACGATTCAGCAACTTCGAAGTAGCCTCTACTGCCTGAAACAACTGATGACGAGTCAAAGTCTTCCCAAGAACAACAACCAACATCGTCTCGGTCCATCACTTCCTCGAGGACCAAATCGCCAGGGGTCTCCGACAGTAAATGCAGTACACAAGTCGAACAGTAATGGAGATGGTCAGATCTCAACACACTTATCTGATACAAAAATCGACAAATGCAAAAGCCCGAAATAGTACTCACCTTCTCACTGCTGCGATCCTGAGAAGGTCTCGGCTTCCTCCTTACATTACAGCAGTTACCAAAGCCCTTGGGAGTCGCTACTCCCCAGGTGGCCTCCATTAATTGTGGCAACCGATCCAGTAGACTGATGCAGCTCCTCTTAGTACGACCAAATAGATCTACAGCAAATCAGCATACCATCCATCCTACACATCACGATTGCTCACCCTCCCTTCCTTCCTGAGGCCATAGGAAGGACACAGCGTACTGATCACTACTGCTATCGTAACTCCTTAAGTACGCCTTCAATGCCGAAGTCACCATGCTCACTTTCCGTTCTAGATGAGCATCATAGGCCGCACCCGACAACACCTACCACACCAGACTGAACTATGGTGAATCTCTATCTAGTATAACCATAAACCATCAGACATAGACAAGAAACTCTACGATTAAGGCCGGACTCATCGAGTCATAATAATGTAATACTCTCGTTGCATAATTCTACTCTGCGAAAATCTGAAAATGAATCCGGCCTTGTGATTCGACCAATAACGATGCAATAACATATACCGTAAAACACTGAACCTCAAGACAAATCGGACAATATATAAAACCACTGCAACAAGTCTAGCATTCACATAACGATACGATATCAGTGATGAACAGTTCCTACTTCCTTACTCGATCAGCTAAATAGACTTCTAATTGGGCACTAGTCAGAGAACCGTGCATACTGTTGACCATTGAATATGGCAAAAGTCTACAAATACTATAAACTCCCATAACACAACAGTTGAGCCTATTACATAGAACGCTAACGATATAATACTATTTATCGACAACACACGATGCTCACTGATTATGATGTCCTATCACATATTACACAAACAACAACAAGAAGAAGAAGCCATCCTCCACCTCGTTAAGGAGGCGTCACAAGCTTCCTTCGGGCCTTACTCGAGATCAACGCAGCACATGTAACAATAACCTGCGCTTCGTTCAATTTGGTCGAGAACGGTTGATGGCCAGGACCGTATAACTCCCCCAACTTTATAAAGGGTCCACCTTCCCTTATAGTGACTTCAAGCTCCCGAGTAAAGTACCCTTTCTCATACCAATTCCGCATTTCCGCAAATGTAAACGGCCCACGTTCAGTTCCCCTCGGGTCCTTATACCTCCACAATTTATGTCCGGATGGTATCGCATTAGAAGCTCTTGTGATCGCCTCAACCCTCTGCTGTAAAGAAAGCTTCTTAACGATATCTTCCTGGCTAACCGTATTCTTCTTAGACCAATTCCCGTACTGTCCCTGAGCCTGCGGCCTCGAGGGACCAACTGTACCGTAGAACTGCCCAGGGATGAACTCAGCCGCATTTGCTGACAGCTCCTTCCTCAGACCTTTGGTACCCCCCAGAGTGGTAGTAGAGCTAGTTGAAGTAGTATCATTATCATTGATAGTCATCAACAAGGCCTTCAGTTCACGATTAACGCTCAGGTCATAAATATCAATATCGTCATTCTTCTGAGCATACACCAACTTGTCCAGCTCCTTCTCAGTGAGCCTATGATATGCACCCTCAGTGCCCTGCTCCTGCTGCTGGTCAACACTGCTCATGGCCTTTAGTTGCTTTGACGCGACAGCAGCTACACCGGACGGACCTTCAGAGGAGTAGATGGGCTTATCGCCGCCGTTCGCATTATCATTTGGAGACGACTGGTCTTGTCCCATTGCTGGGAACACAAACTGAACAGTGAGGATCAAGTGCTGATTAACGCCCAGGACGGACAATCTCAGCGACTTAGATGTTCATCAGTTGGGAATTTACCCCCGAGCTAAACTCTTTTGAATGATGATACTAGAGAGGGAGCTTGCGATATACCTCACATATACTGAGGCCACTACTGCAGTGTCAAAGTTGGGATGCATAACTCTACCTTTTGTACACCCATAGGGGCCTATAGCGAGCTCCGAGCGAATTCAACGTCGGATCACTTGCTCTCTCGGTAAATCTTAGGCTTCCTCAGCAAGAGGTCGCAGGTTCGATCCCCGGCCACATCATCAACGCAAGGCCGGCATTCTCTCACATATCACTAATGATGATACTCAACAACAGCAGCCATGCCCCCCAAGTAGCTGCCTACCAGTCGGACCCTCGCAGACTCTCTCTACAATCCCTACAGACTCAACTGGTATCAACTTCTTTGAATCTACCATGCAATGTGTGGGAAAATATGCACATGTGTGTTGGTGACAATATGAAAATTCGAAGGAAATTTATAGAAAATTCTCATTAACATCGGTACACTTCCAGCCGAGTTCATATATAAATTTGAGGAAACTCGTGAGCTCAGCTGAGGAAAGCGAACACATATATTCCTCCAACACTGCCTCAGGTGTCCGGTCTAGCGGCGGCCCCTCCCAAAGCTGCTAGCAGTAACAGCAGTAGTTCAACGAAGACTCAAAAGAGTAGGGTGTCTTCTAGTGATAAATGATTTTCCTATTTTTCCATCAGTTTCGACCGATTTAACCCGCCGTTTGATATTCCCGAGTCACGTCGTGACACCTCGTAAACCAGCGACCTCTCAAGATTCCTCATGGTCTAAACAACTACGAGAAGAGAACAACAAACTACAGCTAACACGGTGAGCGGAGAAATTCGTTTTCCCTATCAATCACGCATACAATCCACCGTCACGTCATAAAACCTCATTCGCGATCATTGGGAATTTAATTTCCGAGTGTGCGGCCCGATACGATCGACGATATGACGTATTCACACATGTCGTTAGTTAGCCTGATGATTACGCCTATGACATAAGGTGTTGATGAAGAGCACTCAACCATTCGAAAGGGTGACACGGACCTGTAATCATCAACTCAATAGATTTACTGCAGTTGAATCACCTCTGATAAATCTATTGATAGTAACTGTTAGTGTTTCGCCAGACTGGACTGAACTCTGCACCACTAGGGTCTCAAAGAATGAAAATCTAAGTGCCTTCTGATCTCTTATATAAAATTAAATCTCCTGAACCAAGCTGATCATCGTAAAAGCTTAGGCCGCTCTGCCAAAAGTGAGATCGATGACATAGTAGGCGTTCATGATCAATAACATGTGCGTGCGTGCGACGAGCAACCCTTGCACGCATACGCTGTCTAAAGGCCGCCTATTCAGAGGGTGCTTTAACAAAGAGTTGTAGAATTGAGGCTGGCATCACAACCGAAAGTTTATCATCAATTTCGTCTAGAAATTCAATCATTAATCTCTATGCGAAAAAAAATAAATTAGTTCTTCACATCATGGAAATTCGAATTTTAAGTTACATATTCGTAGACCCCCCGAAAGTGAAGTTTCGAATTCATTAATAAAATTCATCGACTCGTTATCACAAAATCAATTTCGGCCGATTTTATTCCAAATTCAATACCACTTTGTGTACTATATAGCGACTCTAAGTATTTCGCTACTCCACCAGTTTACTTGATCAGTTTGAAGTCCCGCCTCGAAGCTGAGCAACATGCAATGGAAAAAATCTCTGGTCAAACCAAGTGCTTAGAGAAAGAGCTCGGGACTCAGGAAACGACCATCCGAGGTGAGAGCAGCTTCCTAGCGTGTATACAATGGAGTTTCAATACAACCCGCTTTACGTGAAGTAGCGTAAAACTCGGTGAAAAACGCGATACTCGCGGTGATATGCAGCAGCAGTCGTGAAATGTGATTCTCACTAGTCTTTTTCATATTACGGGTGAAACTCCATTGTGTTCGATTTTGATAGTCCAAAACGAAAAAATAGTTGTAACTCTGCTGAAATCAACAATACTATACCGGAGTTTCACCCGTTTCACGTGAAGTGGCGTAATACTCGGTGAAAAACGCGATATACAGTCGTCGTGAAATATATTTTTCACTACCATGGAACACACTAGTGAATCACTACTGTTTTCCATATCACTATGGCACAGCTTCAATATGTGACTATCATATTTAATATGTATTAGTGTTGATATATAGTAAGATTGAAAGCCCCTTAATATTCGAACATAAAATCAACACACTGTAGTTTCACCCGTTTAACGTGATACAAGTCTCAAACTACAATTGTTTTCGGCGAAGTGAACTGTGAAATATGTTTCTTACTGGTGTTCTTCATATCGTGGTTGAAACTCTACTGTATAACCAAATCTAATCGATATTAGATTATAATGAGGAGCTCAATGTGGCTGAGGAAGCAGCGAGAGTGGCCCTGGTCGAGAGCATCGGCTTGCAGAGGAAACTGTGCGAGATATGTCGCCATTTGGAAGTCCGAGCTGCATTCCAACAGTCCATACGTAAATACGCCAATGATTTCGAGTGTAATCAGCTCGATTTACGGTATGAGAATTTCCCTGTAAAAAAGTTGAAAGTGTGTGTGTGCAGTTTCATGGGTCCTCCTCCTAGTAGTCGATCGACTCTTTATGACCGAAGCATGGAGAGCTGCAAGTAGTAGGTGGAGTACTCTAGTTGTTATTGACTTTTCCGTGTAGTTCTTCGGTCTATTCCCAAGGTCCCCCGGTCAAGACCCCTCCCAAAGTGAGTTGTGTTTTTCTGCCACTTTTGCATGTTACTGTTGGGGGAATATATATTCACTTTCCTCAGCTGAGCTCAAAAGAATTTTCATATTGTCACCAACACATGTAGTCAACCATGTGCATGTTAGGTTACCTCTGGCCAGCCAGATGCTGATGATGAGTTTTGGGCGGCAGTAAGGCAACAGATTAATAGCATTGATAATTGGCTTACTCCTCGCAGAGGCAGACGAAGCGGTAGGTGGGGAGTGTCCATTTATGGAGTAGACAATCGGATACTGGTGACCGATCATATATACTTGTAACTTGTAATAAATATTACATATTACTTATACACTAAGTTTTTTAAACTACAGTACCCCACTGACCACTGACACACTAGTAGATAATTCATAGTGAGCCTCGTTATCATAGGCAACTAAGCAGCGTTTTTTTTCTTAGGCAAATTCAAAAAATCTGTGTTTCTCGTTAACGAATAAGAGTGTCGAGCTGAAACTTTAACAGGATATAGTTATTATCACGGTACATCGCATGTTGAGTCGAAACGGTCATGTTCGGAACGGTTACTGATATATCATGGCTTATAACGAACTAAGATTGGTCATCGAAAACCCATTGAAATGGGTGTCAATGACCGATTGAGCTGTTTTTCATAATGTATAGTAGTACTTAGTATAAGGAGTAAGTAATACTAATACTACTACACTAGTTTTAATACTAGCAATAATACACTCGTAACACTTACACTGGTAATACACTCCAAGTAGTTGAAATGAGAGTTAATTGTAGTAGTGCTACTATGAAGTACTACTTGATATTTGTATGAGTACTTATAATACTAATACACTACTGTAGGCACTGTAGTTTTGATACTAGCAGTAGTAAGACACTCAGTTCTAATGAGAATCAATTGTAATACACTTGAATGAATATTCACTACTGATTGCAGTAATAGAATAGTACTGGTAAAATTAGTAGGAATTAGTTTTTCTCATTATTATAAGCTTACATATTTCTTGTTGGAATTTCAGCTCGAAATTTCCAGGACCTAGTTGACGACGCGAAATACTGAAATTTCTACTACAAGTTTGAATGCATTATATTGTTATTCATTTAATATCGTGTTTAAAATCGATAGTTTCAGTACATCCTCCTGTTTGTTACGTTTTTGGACTTATTATATTCTCAAGATTGTCTGTAGTGTTGTTCTTGTGATTTGTCGGTTTTTTCATCAGAATTTCACATTCGTCTCAGGTGCAGCTGAGCATCCTCCTCAAGGCAACTATCAGTCACATACGACTCTAATAGGAACATCAGGTGAACAACTTTCTATCGTCAACAATGATGAACTCGTGCTGGTCTTAGATAGTAGGGCCCGATCTGTGTCGGCACTAGGAGGGGTGACACCAGTAAGGGAGCAACTACAGTACGCTTTGGAAGTTAGCAGTATTATGTGTGGTAATAGTGTTACTGTTCATCTGCTCTCGTGTTGACACTGGTGTTCATCTGTACTACTCTAACAGTTGGAGGAAAATATTTTCGCTTTCCACCTCAGCTGATTCTGGGTAGTTTTTCTTAGTAATTATAGTAGTTATATACAACTAGAGTAGAAGTGTACAAAAACCAACGAAAAATGTCAGCAAATTTGCCCAGTATTTCCATGTTGTAGTCATAATAGTTAGGCTCTTATCTAGTCCATTATTATGACCACTTATACGATAGACTTTTCATAGCGGCAGTTTACAGTGTTGTTCACTTATTTCAGCCCGCACAGCAGTATTAATCTCGAAGTTGGACGGTTGGTTCGACGCGAATCCTGAGATAACAGTTCCCGCACCACGACGACAATCTATGGAAGAGGAGTTGGCCAGTCCGGATGATGATAGTAGCGGTTCGGAAACTTGGGTGAGAATACAGGGAAGTGACTACTTCTCCAGTTTGGATAGTTATATTCTTTTACTTCTCCTGGACAAGAAAATGTAGTTATATTTGCAGACCAAATCGACCAGCACATTCTTGTTATGTGTTTTTTCTATTCCGGGATTAATGATAGTGAACAACTTGTCGCTATCATAGCCTCGAAAGGTTACTTTAATAATTGTCGTGAGTATTGATGAAGAGGGCCCCGCTCGAGGTGCCATGTCGTGAGTATTGTTAAACCAAACCCGTAAGAAATAAGTGGAATCTAATTTTATAACACCTCTTATATCATCAACGACTAGCGCAGCTTGTGCTATTAGCTAAAGATATGAATGGAAGTGAAATAACACAAAATGAGGATACGAACCTAGAAGATCTTAGCTGAGATCACCACAATAATGTTGAATTTCCATTCCTGAGCAGTGACGCTATACGAAAGTGTGTAGGTCCCTGAGAGGCCTTCAACGGCATACGTCAACCCTAAGGGCTACACATCAGCAATGGCCCTCCCCAATGGGTCCAATCAATATATGGTAGAGTACTCAATTGATGGTTGTCAGTTTGTTGGAATGTGAGACTAGGTTCAACCATCCGAGTTGCAACGTACTCCCTCGGTGCCTGCGGGGACTACCACTACTTCGGTGTTCGCAAGGTGAGTTGGGTTAGTGATGGAATAGTAGTCGACACAACAACTGGGAATCGAATATCTCGAAAACTCAATAGTTTTTCCCTAGAAGGACATTATTATTACCATCCGGGAAAGTCCACGGTGGAAATTTGTCATTTTCGAGCACCCTGTCGTAATACAGGGCTTTCTTTTTTTCTAGTGGTTTTGCATTGGATCAGTCCTCTGTGTAGGATGCCACCGACTCTGAGAGCAAATCCAATGTTCACGAGAAGGATGGACCTAGAAAGGCCATATACATACCGCTAGCCTGAAGGGCGGCCATAACATCATGCGTTGTTCTAAGAGTGGTGTCTTTGGCTGACCGTTTTGGGTTATAGTGTCAATGAAATTTATGAGAAAATACGCACATGGTCAACATTTGGTAGGTTTTGCTACATGGGCAAGAGAAAAGCACTCGTAGTCTCGAATCGACCTTGACTACGGGAGTGTCTTCTTCCCAGTGTGGGAGAATATACACATGATCAACTACATCGGTGTCGGTGACAATATGGAAATCTCGAGGAAATTTGGGGAAATTCTCGTTGGTTTCTTAACACACTTGTACCGTTATTCGTATATAAACTTGTTTGATCAGTGAGGAAGTTATTGAGAGCCAGAACCCAACGTCGACCAAAATATTAGAGAGACTCAACTTATAATCATCACTGGTATGCAAATGACTACGGCTTAGCTCAGCGATGATACGCTGAGAATCAACCACAATGGGACAAATATCACGAGAAACAACAATTGACACAAGCCGAATCTCACAGACCTTCACAGAAGTTCCTGATCTCAGCTGAGCAGAGCAATCATATATCGAGGGTGCTACATTCGAACACAAACCCTTATCGAGAGTGTTGTGTTGGACACACTATGTGACGCACAGGCGACCGTCGCTCAGTTGAGCTTATCATGGCCGTTTACGGTACCGCTGAACTACCGCGGTTCACTGCAGTACCGGAGACTCTCGAGGTTGGGGTCTGACACGAATGTCTCATACCACACTTCTTTCAGATTTCGGATGATGGGCGGTCCGATCTGTCTACTGAGAGGTGGAATTCTGACGACGAACCTCCAGTTGAGAAGGTCAACGATAGGATGGTCATCAGTCGTGATGGTCGGTCGGTCCGCGCCGCGGAATAGAGATTTCCATCAGCGAGAAATGGTACCAAGTTTGTGTCTGCTCGAGGCACTCTAATTTCCTCGGAATGCGGTCAACGCACAGTTGAGTGCGTGACCCGAGTATAGCGCAAGAATAAGCCAATAACGAGCCTACTTGCTGTCGTTCTTGGAGTATAGCATCCTCTGATTGACAGCATATAGTGTAACAATACTCCGATCAGTGTCGTATGAGGTTCATTGATACGCACTGTGTTGAAAGTTGGTGTGCACGGCGATAGTGGTATGGACAGACCGGGGAGATATGACAGAGTCCGCATCAGGTAGGCTGACCGTGTACGAGGATGAGGAGGAGGAGGAGCCCTGGTGGAGTTGTAGGTTCATGGATATATCATCGCACTGTGGAGAGTTCACTTCACTGGAGGCGGCTACCTGGGCGGACCGAGGTGAAGGTCTCGAGTTCGAAGTCGGCACCTGTGATCCCCGAATACCCAGCGCTATCGACGTTGGAGTCAGGTAAGGCGGCAACTACTGCTACCACTACTCTTATACTGTGCACTTCACGCACTTTTCCGTGTCACTATTGAATCGCCATTGCGGAGAGAGAGCTACATATACGAGCAATTTCCTCTGTTTTGGACGCTTTGATTCACGACGAGCTATACCCGAAGGCCATATCCTGTGTCAAGGAAATCTGCAGTTGCACGAACGAAGTCTGATCAAGCCTAAAGCAGGCATCGGACCATAATCACAACAAGAACTATCACTGCTACTGGGGTTAAGGAGAGAGTCTAGCCAGGTGTTTTTATACGTAGCTTGCCTCTCGAATGCGACCAGAATCGTATTTCACTGATCCTCATGATGAGGTGCAATATCTACTAGGTACATGACGGTCGGATCGGTGTGCAGGATAGAGTCGCCTTGTAATCCGGCATGGAGGCTGCCTTATGATGGACAGGAGGTGCAGGGAGGATGGGATGAAAATCGACCTACTAGGAAAAGGTAACAAACGTGTTGTTATGACTCGACCTGTGAGGGGCGTGCTCGATGGTGAATATTTAAGTCGTAAACGGAGGCTATCGACTGTCCAATGTTGTGGTAT